CAGGGGAAAGTTCAGGGTTGGCAGTCAGGCCAAGGTGTTAGAGGGTAAATCCAACAGGTGCAGCTCCCAAAACAGATGCACGTGCTGGAAGGCAGGCAGAGAGTGGGGCTCCCTGCCCCCATGAGCCCTTTCCATTGCCCTTGACCTCCCTTGGTTACCCTGGCCGGGGTCTGAGGCGGTTTCCCCTGGGCCCTGTAACTACTGGAAAACAACAGGACATAAATCCACGGATGAGCTGTCTCATCCCCCCTGTGACAAAGGGGCTTGAATGATTTAGAGCCAGAATATTCTTTTTCTCCATAATGGCTCCTGGAGTCGCCAGGAATAGTACATTTACTAAAATTAATGGCAAAACCTCATTTTTCTTTTTTCCGGGAAGAGAAGTTCCATCGGCGGGGTAATTGATCCTGATCTGGACGTGCCGGTGCGCCAGCCGGGGGTGTAAATCATTCACGTGAAACAACTCACAGCCCTTTAAACCAACACCAACAGTGACAAATGGCACAGGCTGGGACAGGCGGAAGGTAACACGAAAGGGAGATCCATCAGTGTCGCTCCCCCTTCTCACCGGGGCCCAGAAAGTGGGATCTTTGGGGGATGCCCCCCAGGAGAGCAGGATTTTTCAGCAAGATTGGGCCTAAAGGGCAGGATCGCATCACTGTGACAGCTTTAGAGCTGGACACACAGGGACACCCAGATGACCTCTGTCACTCCCAACTTTGCAGCCCCGGGCAAAGCCCCTCCACCTTCTCTACCTGCTGGGCTTGACATGAACGTGAGAGAAAACTATGTCTGCAAAGGGCCTGAGCATAGACTGTCCAGTAAATGAATGAATGCATGTGTGCTTGATCTGGGCACTTAAACTGGGGACTTAGAACATTTATTCTAGGGGTGCCTGGTGGCTCAGTCAGTTGAGTGTTTGACTTCGGCTCAGGTCATGATCTCACAGTCCATGAGTTCGAGCCCTGCATGGGGCTCTGTGCCGACAGCCTGGAGCCTGCCTCGGATTCTGTGTCTCCCCCTCTCTCTCTGCCCCTCCCCTGCTCACACTCTGTCTCTCTCTCTCTCAAAAATAAACATAAGCATTTAAAAAATTTTTAAGTTAAAAAGAAAAGAAAATGCATTCTCTCTCCCAGGAAGATTTGAACTTAAAACATGGAAAGTGAAAGGGGCAATGCTTTCCTCAAAGAAATGGCTGGCCGTGACAGAGGCCGTGGCCCCAAACCGCAGCGCACAGACACTTTGCTTTGCCTGTAAAAGTCCTGAGCGTCCATCACAGAGGAATACATAAGATACACGAATGACGGCCTTTGCCATCTCTCTCCATTCAGGGTGAGCCCCATGAGGGCAAAAGTGTGTCTTGTTCTCTGCTGGGTCCCCAACCTGGAGCACCAGGCATGGTTTGTGAGAAAAACCAAGGATGCCTCTGGCATGAAGGAAAGAACCAGAACCCTGACGGCCTTGCAGACTTCCGGTGTAGTTTGCTAGACAACACATGGCATGGAGCAGCTGTCCCCTTGTCATACAGGGAGGGCATGGAGGAGGGCAGGTTGGGGGCACGCACTTGAACCCGGAATTGGTGAGAGCACAGCCAAGGAGCCTGGGGAGGTTTCAGGACACCACACAGACGGGCGCCCCCCACTGAGATGCCTTTGACTCCTGCGGCTCCACACCGATGCCCGCACCTGCGCCCTGCCCACAGTTGGTGCCGAATAGACAGATGTTGAGTGAACCAGGGAATAAATGATGACAAGAAAATATGACAGCCTCTCTTCTCCCAGTGGAACTATCCTAGGGCCCACAGATAAGAGGGCTTATTTGAGGGCAAAGAGGTTAGTGAGTTCGGGACAACCACTGTTAGGAGGCCTCTGCCAGCCTGACATTGTCCCTTTGAGCCTTGCTAATCCACAGAGTCACCAAAGAAACAAACTGTAAGAACACCGGCTAAGCAGGAACACGCCCTCCTTTCTCCTGGTGGCTTGGATGGTGGCCCCCAAAGCCCAAAAAGCCTCCTAGAAGCTGTCAATGTGACCTTATTTGGAAAAAGTATCTTAATAGATATAATTAAGGTAAGGATCTCAAGACAAAATCCACCCGATAAAAACCAATAGGGGCACCTGGGTGGCTCAGTCGGTTAAGTGTCCGACTTCGGCTCAGGTCATGATCTCGCGGTTCGTGGGTTCGAGCCCCATGTCGGGCTCTGTGCTGACAGTTCAGAGCCTGGAGCCTGTTTCAGATTCTGCGTCTCCCTCTCTCTCTGACCCTCCCCTGCTCACACTGTCTCTCTCTCTCTCTCTCTCAGAAATAAATAAACATAAATAAATAAATAAATAAATAAATAAATAAATAAATAAATGCCAATCACAGGCATCCTTCTAAGAAAAAAGGCAGAAGGATATTTGAGACACACATCCACAGAGAGATGCGGCTACCATCCTGGGAATGCCTGGAGCCACCAGAATTTGGAAGGATGGAAAAGGATCCTCCACAACAGCCTTCAGTGGGAGTGTGGTGCTGCCAACAGCTTCATTTCAGACTTTTGACCTTCAGAATGGTGCAAGAATAAATTTCTGCTGTTTTAAGCTGAGGTTTTGGTACTTTGTTAAGGCAGCCCTAGAAAATACAGGGCCAACCACACTCACGCCGAAACAAAGGGAAGAATTCAGTCTTGGTAAATTTCTGTGGCATCTTGCAATCAGAAAGCAGAGAACCGTATAGATCTCATTTCAGCAAACACACAAGCTTTGCGTTTTACAGTTTTTTTGTTGTTTTTATTTTGGTACCTGTATTGGGAGTGGGTGCACTATAATCTTTTCAGTATTTCAGGGCCTTTAAAGATCTGAAGCTGGGGCGCCTGGGTGGCTCAGTCTGTTAAGCGTCCAACTTCAGCTCAGGTCATGATCTCAGAGTTCGTGGGTTCGAGCCCCACATTGGGCTCACTGCTGTCAGCCTGTTAGTGCAGAGCCTGGAGCCTGCTTCAGATTCTATGTCTCCCTCTCCCTCGGCCCCGTCCCTGCTTGTGCTCTGTCTCTCAAAAATAAATAAATGTTAAAAAAAAGGTTTTTTTTAAAGATCTTAAGCTTCCCTTGGAATTGGGGATAAGGAAAGGAAAGTGAAAAGGGAAGGAGAGAAAGGAGACAGAACGAGAACCGGAGAGCAAAGAGGAGAGGAGGAGAGCCACTGTTTGATCTGGCCGGCACGCCCGGGTGTCTGGCCGGGTAAAGAAGACATCAGAGGAGATGGGCTGGGCTGTTGTCTCTGCTCCCGGCCAGAGCTGGCAGGAGGGGACCTCAGCTGCATGAGAAACAGGGCTGGTGAATGAGGAAGTCATTCTGTCAAACTGGAGGAAAGAGCCTTTCTCTCTCCCTGGCGGTGGGAGGTGGGGAAACTGCCAGTCAGGGGGCTTGGGCTTTGTCTGGGAACCCGGGTCTCTGTGCAGAGCCTCACCTCCCCCACACAACAGCTCGGCTGATGGCTTGTCACGGGCAAAGCTGACAAGAGTGACACTGGCTGTGGCGGGCAGTGGCCTGAGAAATATACTTGCTGCAGGCAGACAAGTTGGGGAGACTTGTCACAAAACCAGAATGGACAAGGCGGGAAGCAGATAAAGACTGTGATTTAGGGACCTTCTGGACAAGCCTTGGCAGGAGGCAGGCTGCCTCAGTGAAGGCGCTACGGTGGCAGGCAAAGGGCGTGCCAGATGTCCCCCGGGTCACAGAAGCAGAAACCTGGATTCTTAGGGACACTGGACCTCATGGGGAAAAGGAGAAGCCAGCTCTGTCAGATGCTCTGTGATGCCTGCAGGGAACCATTCTCAGAAAAATACACTGCATGATGGGAGGAACCTTCCCACTGGGCAGGAAACAAATTTTTATTATTTTTCCCCTTTTCTTCTCCTTATGAAATTTAGTAAAATGCCAAACTCTGCATTTTATTTATTTTTACTTTATAAATTATTTTACTTTCTTCCTTTTTTTTTTTTTTTTTTTGGTCAGGATAGGAAAATTTTTTTTTAAGTTTTTTAATGTTCATTTCTTTTTGAGAGAGAGAGAGAGAGAGAGAAAAAGAGAGCACACGCACAAGTGGGGTAAGGGCAGAGAGAGAGGGAGACACAGAATCCGAAGCAGGCTCCAGGCACTGAGCTGTCAGCATAGAGCCTGATGGGGGGCTCGAACCATAAACTGTGAGATCATGACCTGAAGTGAAGTCGGACACTTAACCAAATGAACCGCCCAGGTGCCCCGGAAACAAAATTTTAAATGTTGCTTGGATCACACCAGGGAGCAAAGCACAGCTTAGTCAATAAAAACAGACTACAGAGTTGGCCAGGCCTGGGTTCAAATCCCTACTAAGGTGTGTGTAGCCGTGGGCAAGTGAATGTACCACTCTGAGCCTCTGTTTGGCATGCTGATGGCCCCTTGTCTTAGTTTCCCCAACTGGAAAGCAGAGATAAGAATAGTACCTACCCAGAAGTACTTTTATCTTTGTTATGGCTGCTATTAGCCCAGAAACAGCTCTGACAGCTCCTAGGGGTGACCTTAGACTAGCTATTTCACCCCTTTGAAGCCTCGGTTTCCTCATCTGTAAAATGGGGATAATAATTCTGACTTCCCAGGGTTGTTATGAGGATTATAAGGATTATGACATGGGTGTGAAGAGTCAATGCAAGGTGGGCATTTAATCAACATTGCTTCTGTCCCCTTCCCACGAGGCTGCCCTGCCTTTGGAGTGGAATGTGTGAGGCAGGAAAGGAAAGACTGGCATCTGAAATGTACACGTGCTGGGCGGCCCCTCCGCAGCAGTGAATGCCATTGGCCCACTTTGGGCTGCCCCCAGAGACTGAAGCCAATGGCAGCGTCGATCCTCTGCCCATCGCTTTCTGGTGTCTCCCTGCTTCCCAAAGGCCCTAGAGTCCTGCCCCAGCAGCTCCCATTCAGAACGCAGTTGGGCACACCGAGCCCGAAACCCTCCATCCCGTGACAGCCAGCGTGCACACTCACCAGCTCCATGCACCTGCGGCTGGCCTCTGCCTCCCGCTGCACCAGCTCTTCCATGTCCGCCTTCAGCTCCTCCAGGCGCCGCTGGTAATACTGGCTGCTCTCCCGCTGCTGGGACTCGGACTTGGCCGCCTGCGTCAGCTCCTCGCCCATCTTGATCAGGCTGTCCCGAAGCCGGATCACCAGGACCTGGAGGCGGGCAGAGAGAGCACACCACCGTGGAGTCAGAGGCCAGGGGCCCGAGGCAGGGGGCTCCAGGGAGAGAAATCCTTTGCTGAGTCTCCCTGCACTTGTATAAGGTAATCCGGATGATAATCCTCAATTCCAATAGTTGATTTTAAAAACCTAGCAAATGAGGGGCGCCTGGGTGGCTCAGCTAGTCCAGTGACCGACTCTTGACTTTTGGGTCAGGTCATGGATTCTTTCTCTCTCTCTTGCTTATGCTCTCTCTTTCTCAAAATAAACTTAAAAAAAAAAAAAACAACAACTAGCAAATGATCATTGCTATTCAGAGAGGCAGCCTAGCATGGAGCTGAACACCTTGGTTTTGAATATGTCCTAGGTTCAATCCTCCTGCTACCACTTCCTGGCTGTGTGACCTTGGGCAGGTTATTTAACCTCTCTGAGAGACAGAGATGATGACAGTATTTATGTCCCAGGGATCCTGTCAGACTTGAAAACGTTAAGTTCTGCAGAAGGCTTAGTTCACTGCCTGGCACACAGAACATTCTAAATAAGAGTTGGGAATTATTAATATTTGCAGCAGCCCCCCCATCATTTTTCGAAGATGCTCACTGGGGAGAACACTACAGTCTGGGGAATCAAAACCCCTTCCCCAGTGTGGATTTTGGTTTCCCAATTTGTAAAGTGAGGAGGTTTGGATCAGATAACCTCCCCCGAGCCTCAGCTCTAATGTTTTATGGCATTTTTCCTTTTCCAGGGGGAAAAGCAGAGAGGGCACAATGAAACAATAGAGAAGAGAGCTGTGGGCATCACCAGTGCTACAGGAAACAAACTCGAGGGCCGTTCTGCAGAATTCATTAGTTGGCCAACAAGCCTGCCGCCAGTCGATTCTGATGGGCAAATACTCGAGTGTTGACCTAAAACAGAGCCCACATGAATATTTCAGACCCTTCTGCAAGGCTCTGAGCCCCTCTCCAGATCTGAGACTGAATCCTGGTTTAGAAGAAAAGCTTTACAATTCAATTGCCCTTTGCCTTTCAAATGGAGTTTAGTAACAATTTCAAGGGCAGCGCTGGGCAAGGGCAGATAGGGGGTTGGTTAAAAAGAAGAGTCGTTCTCCGTTCTCTAACAATGTCCCCAAGGCCTGGAATTTTACTAAATTCAAGTCATGAGGCCAGAAGGGGAAAGGGAATTTGGACATAGAATCTGCCACATAAAGGGTTTTTTTAATCGTAATTTTAATTGCTTTTCTGCTATCACTTGGCTATGCTCGATTCAAGCAAACGGATATAGCCCAACATTATGTAAACTTAAAATGTAGTAGATCAGAGTTCCTTGGTGATCTGCAGAGACAATTGTGCCTCAAGGGACCCCTTGAGCAGTTCCGAGAAGCTCTGAGGGTCAAGGTGGAGAAGGATGTTCTCTGTTCTTCATATATCGCGTGCAGCCTTCTTAGAGACAAGTGCCCAGCAGGGGACTGGGAGAATGGCTCAAAGTGAGGAAAGCAGCCTCATGCTTCCAGGCAGGCCACCCTCCAGTGGAGAAGCCAGTGGAATGCAGAGAAATCACAGCCTGGGACCAGGGTGGAGTGAAGATCCCCAGTCAATCTACTGCCGTCACTGGCACTAAACAGTTTTTATCTTTTTTTTTTTTAATGTTTATTTTTGAGACAGAGAGAGACAGCGTGAGCAGGGAAGGGTCAGAGAGAGAGGGAGTCACAGACTGAAACAGGCTCCAGGCTCTGAGCTGGCAGTCAGCACAGAGCCTGACGCGGGGCTCGAACCCACAAACCGTTAGATCATGACCTGAGTCGAAGTCGGACGCTCAACCAACTGAGCCCCCCAGGCGCCCCTAAATGGCTTTATCTTGAACGAGTCACTTGACCTCTCTGCAGACACCTTGTAGTTCATTCAGTGAGGCCTATCCTCCCTGCTGTATGTGGCTTCAGCGAACATCGATGGGGAGTGGCTAATGACAAACAGATTGGACAGTGACGCCCATGTCACTGGCCTGCAGAGCTCCATGTGAATGTAGTTGTTGAACCTCACCCCAGCCCATCCACGTCTTACCTGCCCTGCTCAAGGTCCAGCATCAAGGTCACCTCCTCCCAGAGGCCTCCCTGATTCCCCAGCTTGGAAAGACCTCCTTTGCTCCCCACACCTCACAGCCCCCTGTCCATATTATGGGTATTTATGTACATATTTTACCCATCTCTGCTACAAAACCCCCATATTTCTGGAAAGCGGAATCGGCTGTGCACATCTGTCTTCCATGTGCCCCAAAAAGAGCCTGGTACACCCTAAGTGCAAAATACATCTCTGCCCAAAGTGAGTGTTGGGTGCACAAGTGCATGAGTGGGCAAACGGTGGTGGGCAGAACAGGATTGATGGATAAAAGCATGAACAGACAGAGGGGTCAAGGTCTGAAGAAAGGGGAAGAACAGAGGAAGAGAAGAAAGAATGGAAAAAGGAAGGAAGAAAAGACAGAAGGAGGGCGACGGATGGAATGATGGCACATGGCGTGGTACACAGAGGTGGGTAGGCTGGGCGGATAGTTATTTGTGGGACCGTGTGGTTGGAGGAAGGCAGAAAGGAGGGAGCAGGGGAAGAAACACAGATGAGAGATGGGTGAAGAATAGGTATCCAGAGAAAGGCGTGAGTGGATGGAAGGATGGTGAGAGGATGGACAGAGCTTACGCAGAAGCCCCGCTGCTCTGGGCCTGGGCGATATTTACGTACGCGTACCTCGAATCTCTTAATCTGCACTTTCTGGAACTCCGTCTTGTTCTCCAGGTCACAGATGACTGCCTCCTGCCTGCTGACAATGGCTCGATCCACGGTGGACTGTTCCAGGTACTCGATGCGCATCTGAGCCACCTGCAGCTGGGGACGAACCCGAGAGGTCCACTGACCACCTGCGGCCCCGAGTCCCGGAATCGAGACCCACGCCGGACTCGGCCCCCGGCCCCTTCCCACGACCTGCTGCTCGGCTCTGGTGATATGTGTTAAAGGCTCGAGCACGAACTGCCGATTCCCTCATGCCAGGCCCTGCCCCTGCGCCCCAGATGTGGAGGTGGTGCTCCTGTGTCTTCCACGCCCAGTACAAGACTCAGTCAGCGCTTCCCGTACCTCCTTTCCTTGCTCTGCGAAGGGGGCAAAGCAGTGTGTGAGCCGCGCTTCAGCACCCAAGGATGCAACCAAAAGTGGGCTTGGGAGCCAAGCATATACACATATACATCAGAGTTCAAAGCCAGGCTCCGCCCCTTTCCAGCCGGATGCACCCGGGAAGGCCGGGTCCCTTCCATCAGCCCTTCCTTCTTTCCTTCCTTCCTTCCTTCCTTCCTTCCTCCCTCCCTCCCTCTGTCCCTCCCTCCCTCCCTCCCTCCCTTCCTTCCTTTTTTGTCTTGAGAATTGAAGGCGATTAGCGCCTGGTATATAATAAGTACCCAACAGATGCCTACTGCTGCTATTATTTTTGTGGTATTTGGTATTACTCAGGCCCATGGACATTTGCTTGATGCTCTGTCATTTTGGCAGAAACTCTAAGCAGGCACATGTGGACGGTCCTTGGAAAGGGTTTGAGAATCGCGCGGATGATGGCAGCCCACTAGCCTAAGGAGTGAAATTCAGGGGTGGTTGGGGGAACCGTGGCTTCAGAGGAAGATTTCACGAAGGACCATGATCCTGTCTTGCACAGACCATCGCTTTCTCCTTGGAACCATTTCTCAGAGGGAGAAACTCTTGCACCAAAAGGCTGATGAGTTTCACTGCACAGGGTATCTTTGGAGGCTGACTGGTGTGAGCAAGATCTGTGTGTGTGTGTGCGTGTGTGTGTGTGTGTGCAAAGTTGAGTGAATGGATGAATGAGTAAATGAATGAATGGGTGACAGTTCCCTGGGATCCAAACTGGGAGGTCCCGGAGGGCGCCCTTCCTTTCATCCCCGACGCCATGGTGGCTCTGAGCACGTACTTGCTCTTGAAGTTTGTGCTTCTCCTTCTTGGCTTCCTCCAGCTGCAGCTGTAGTTCTTGGATCTGCCCAATGTCAGTAGCAGACTGGCGAGACAAACACACGTCACCTTGAGACGTTTTGCTGGGACTGCTGGACACCCCTGTGCCCCCCTCCATATGTCTAAGACTCTCAGAAGTGGGCTTGGGAGCCAAGCATAGACACATATACATCAGAGTTCTGTCACTCTCTGTGACAGTGGCTCATTCCAAAAAGCTACAGCTTACATCCTTCCGACACTGGCCATCTTAACGTCTGCTGCACCACTCCCCACATGAGCCCGCGGCTTTGGTCAGCTGCCTGACACACTGTTATACACCCCTGAGAGCCCGGACAGAAATGGGCTGGCCACAGCGCTAGGGCCAGATACTGAGAGAAGAGAACTCTTGAGTGTCAAGTGACTGGGATTCTGGACTTGGCCCTGGCCTCTCTGCACCTCAGTACCCCCATCTGTAAAAGGGGCTGATAGTCTCTGCGTAACTCCTCCACATAGGGTTTGTTCAGAAACTAAAGGAGGCAGTGGAGACTCTAAGGGTCCTTTAAAAAAAGTAGAACCAGGAGCGCCTGGGGAGCTCAGTCGGTGAAGCGTCCGACTTTAGCTCAGGTCATGATCTCATGGCTGGTGAGTTCGAGCCTTGCATTGGGTTCTGTGCTGACAGCTCAGAGCCTGGAGCCTGCTTCAGATTCTGTGTCTCCCTCTCTCTGCCCCTCCCCTGCTCATGCTCCATGTCTCTCTGTCTCTCAATAGTAAATAAACATTTAAAAGAATTTTTTTAAAGTAGAACCAAACCGTGAAGGCTGATTATCCCTGAAGAGAGGGATTCAAGGGGAAGGCAGACCCCTCTTTCTCTTTCCCCGCATCTTATATATTATGTAAATTCTTCATAACGTGCATAGGCATACACTGCTTTTGTAAATGATCAAAGGAAGAAATTCCCCTTCTGACTCCAAATAGGTGTGATTCACAAAGGCAGAGATGGCACAGGCTATTTTTGTGATAGCTGTTCTAATGTGGATGGTAGATATAATTGGTTATTTTTGTTATCCTCATGGATCTCATCTTGGTAGGATGCACCTGACGCCTGGTCGGCACTGTACCGCGGATGTGCTCCGGGATAGGATGTGGGGAAGACACTCATTACTTCTGGAGGGAGCTATTCCACCCCCCCAACAGCTGCGTTATGCAGATCAGGGATACCCATCACTCTTCTGCCAGCCCTGACCCCAAGCCTCTGCCACGCCTCAGCTGGCCACCGCTCCTCCCCATTGTCCCCCAGGTCCATCTGCTCGCCCATGTCCCCTCCGCCTCCCAGTACAAGCCAGCCACAGTTTGCACTCATTCACCAGCTGTGAACTGGGTGCCCTGCTCCACACCAGGCACCCTTTCTAAACTCCAGGATTCAGCGCAGGACAAGACAGGAGCATCTGGGCGTGGCATCCTGGCTGCTCTTCTCCCTCCCGCTTGTGCCCCTAAAAACACTTGCCAATATTCTCATCACACATAAAATAAAATCCATACTCATCTTGGCCCACAAGTCCCTGATCTGCTCTGCTCTGGGGCTGCGCTGAACTCATCTTGCATCACATTCCCTCGCCAGCCTCCTGCCAGGCTCTCAAATGCACCATCCCAATCCTTTGCATATGCTGTTCCTTCTGCCTGGAACATTTCCCATGCCCTGCCCCCCATTATCCCTTCCAACCTCACTGACTCCTGTTCCTTGTTCAGATCTCCATCCAAGGGCCACCTCCTCAGGGAAGGCTTCCCTGACCTCCAGCCTACATCAAGAGTCCCAGAACCATGTTCGTTTCCTTTCTGGACTCTCAGCTCAGTTTGCAAATATCCTCTCTGTTCTGGGTGATTATGTGAGAAGCTCTGCCCAGCCCACGAAACTGCGAGCCATGTGAACACAGGAATGGGATGTGCTTTTGCTCAACACATGATGAGGGCATAGTAAGTATTAGGTAAGTGAACAGATATATAAATAGACATATGAAGAGATAGATGAATAGACACAAGGGTGGATGGAGAGTTGGATGGGTGATGAATGGGTAAGTGGGTGGAGGGATGGATGGATGGATGGATGGATAGATGGACAGGTGAGTAGTTGGGTGGGTGGACAGATGGGTGGATAGATGGGTGGATAGAAATGGGGATAGGTGGATGGGTAGACCAATGAGCAGATGAATGGTGTATGGATGAATATTTCGATGGGTAGATAGGAAGTGTATGCGGGTGGGCAGATGTGTAGGTAGATGTATAAATAAATCAAAGCTTTCCTGGGTGGAGATGTCTTCCAGTGATGCACGCCCATCTGAGGGTGACATCCTCCTCTATCAGGACCCCATGAAATGTCACATCCCCATTTATCATGGTGGCATTTATCCCTCCAAGGTCCTTAGACAGAGAGGAGTGGCCCAGCCACAGCCCCTCGCAACATCTCCCACCTACCTGGCCCACGGCCCCTGTCTCCTTCTGGTTTCTGTCGTTACCTGAGCAATGAGGTCCTTGTGCTTCTGCATGAGGTCGTTCAGGTCGTCCTGGTCCTCATCGATGCGCTTTAGCAGGTCCGCCCTCTCAAACTGCAGCCGGTATAGCTGTTCATCCACCTGGGAGGGTGGGGGGGGGGGACAGGACAGTGGTGGGTGGAGGGAGAGGGTGGGAGGGGGACCACAGGGGCCTGCCGAAAAGCAAAGGTGGGGGGCTCGCCTGTGAGTGCATCAGAGGAGTGACCATCTACCTGAAAGCTTGGCTGTGGGTGTGGCAGTGACAGCTCTGTGTGTGTGCACGTGCGTGTGTAACGGGGCATGCATGTGGCTGTGTGAATGGCTACATGTCTGTATCAGCCCACGTGGGTTTACACGTTATGTCCACTTTCACTGCGCCTGGGACACAAGTGTGAGGGCAAAGCCCTGTAATCTCCGCCGGAACCGGGACTTTGTTCTGTTCACAGATACCTTCCCAGCACTCGGCCTGCATACAGCAGGTGCTCCGTAAATACATAATTGGGTGGATGGATAAAATTAGATGCATAATTTACCTATGAGGGCATTTGTTTTGTATGTGTGTCTGGTGATTTTATAGGTGAGGGTGTACATTCGTGTGTGTGTGTGTGTGTGTGTGTGTGTGTCTGTGTGTGAATGCTTATGGGCAGGTTCCCTTTAACCTGGTCTCAGCAAAATCTCGAACGAAGGGTCCAACAGGGATCTTAAGATCAGCTTTTGCCTATAAATCCGTGGCTACACATAAACTTCGGGATTTTAGATGCGGAGTACAAATTTAAGTTAACCTTGGACACCCAGACAGGGGACTTAGAAATGTGCACCCAATTTTTACTCATGTATTAGATTCTGAATATATGTTCATTTCCCCCATTCCGTGGTGAGCACATAGTAGGTTCATAATAGATGGCCAGGTCCCTTATAGGAGTGAGCCTAAGAGGGTCCACGAGGGATGCCTGTGTCTCCAGTTATAAGAATGAATATGCAATAACCCAGCTGTGATGCCCAAACCCCCTGTTACGGTGGGGAGCACACATTAGGACTACAACTGGTGCCTGGGGACCACTCCCCTGCAGAGCACACTATGGGCACACCACAGACAGTTTTGTTCCCACTTAGAATGCTGAGCAAACAATAGGCTCATATTGAATGCATCCCTTCAGTGCTGAGCACACATTAGGTCTACAACAAGTTTCCTTGCCTAGCTTCGTAGAGAGGAACACATAGTTGATTCTCACACATGCCCTTAGAGCCTTTACAAGGCTCAGCTCAGAGCAGAAGGCCTGTACTTGCAGAATGTTGACCCAGCAAGTCTACAGTAAGCACCCTCAGCCCCCCTTGCAGTGCTGAGTACGCAGCGGCCCCACGCTGGTGCCCAGAGCCCTGTGCTGGCCCCAGGGCCCCACACTCCAAGGAGGGGCGGGTACCAGGCTCTTATTCCGGGTCATGCTCTCCAGCTCGCTGTGCATGCTCTCCAGGTCCGCAGTCAGCGCCTTCTGGGTCTTCAAGGCGTCCTCACACTTGGCCTCACTCTGCTCCAGCTGCACCAGGCACGGGGAGGAGAAGAGAGAAGAGCCTCGTGACGCTGCCCCCTTGAGTGTTCTTTCCCGCCAACTCAGCCCAGCCCCTCTCGGCGGCGGGATAATTTATGGACTACCCTCCCGTCTTCACAGCGATTCATCAGCCCACAACGAGAGGAAGCGAATGTGTTTGCATGTGAGGTGGCTCGGAGATGCTCAAAATGGACCATGAAATCAGGCTAGGCCACTTTTTGGGGCCAGTAGCTGGCCCTCAGCTCCACTCGGCAAATGTTTGCTGACACCCACTTAGTGCACCCACTTAATGCAGGCAGGGAGCCTGGCCCTGGACCCCCTGCCCCACCCCATGAGGGAGACCAGCAGCAAGAGCCTCCCTGAGGAGCACAGGAAGAAAGGTATGGAGATACTGGGAACACAGGATGAAATCAGGGAAGGCCTCCTGGAGGAGGTGCTCAAAAGTTAGTGGGAACTTGCCAAAGAAGAGGTTTCTTAACCAGGTTTCAGAGTCATAACCCCCCTTTAAATGGTATGTAAACTATTTGCCATGTAAGCATTTTTCCTGGGTTCTTAAAGGTTGAGAGCCACCGACCTAAACAAAGTTTCTCTTTCTCACCCTTTTCTTTCTCATCTGAAGCTCACCCACCGGCACACAGTAGGCCTCCTATTTTAGCAAAGCGGGACCATCAAATAGGTACAATTATCTTCTGTGGCCCCAGAAGACAGACGTTCCCCGCTGGAGAAAACCACATCTGGGCACAAACCCTAAGTCCCTTCTGTGCCTGGCAGTTTCCCCTTGATTTCCGAACCCTAGAATCTCTGAGCAGAAAGCACACTCAAAGACTGCCTGAACAAAACACTCAGGGCTCAGAGAGGGACAGTGCCTTGCCTGAGGTCACACAGCCGCAAGGAGGGAAGACGGCACTTGTATTGTCCAGACTAGCAGGTCTTCTCCCTCCCAGCCACCGCCCCTCCCAAACAGCTAATCATATTAAGGCTCGTGTTCACAGGACAGAAGAGAAAAGCAAGCTGGAGCCTCTGCGAAATGATGTGCAGACAATCTCTGACCCCCAAGGCCACCGAGTAAGTGAAGGGGTCCCCTTGATCTGTGAAAGGAAAGCCGTTGAGCCAAGGTGAAGGCCACCCCAGGACAACAGGCTGAGGTGGGGGTTTCTGTGGGTAGAGCCCCCCACCCCACCCTGGAAGCATTTTTATTTCCTTCCAAACTGGGCAGAGAATGTCTTCCTCGGAATATCAGGAGCCCAGCCCGGATGTCAGAATAATGTCAATGGCAGTGGAAGGCGGGGACAATGGAGGTCACCTGGGATTCCAACGTCTCCAATCAAGTGCCCCGGGGGAAAAGGTGCTACTTTCATTGTCGCTTGTAACCCTCATCTTAGCTCTGTGAGGTGTTCCCCCATTATACACATGGGGAAATCGAGGCCCTAACCCTTCTCACACTGGCACTAGTTCTGGTCCCACCCCACTGCCAGCAGCCACCATCCACAAAACTCCCATTTTCCCAGACCCCAAGAACAATGTGTTCCTGCGGTGGGCTCCGTGCAGGACAGACCATTTCCCCGGGTTGGGGGGGTGGGTAAGACGGGTGAGACACATGGAGCATGATGGGGGGCGAGAGGAGGTACTGGCATTGTTAGAGCATCATTGACAGAGGAGATGAGAGGTCAGGCACTGTCATCTCCCCACAGGAGGCTCCGGGGGCCTCTGGGCCAGGCAGACCGGTGGCAGAGCAAAGCCAGACCCTGGTTCCTGCAGAAGTCAGACGCCTCATTAAGGAGAGGATTTAAACTATGACCTGAAAGATGCAAGGAGTCAACCGTGTACCTATTAAAGAGGAAGAGTGCCTTGAGTGGAGGAAGTAGCAGGTGCAAAGGTCCTGAGGCAGGAACAAGAACGAAAGGAAGTGGTGCTGAGGGACAGAAAGGCGGCCAGTGTGGCTGGACAGCTGTCCAGGGGAGGATGGGGAAGGGGTGTTGAAGTAGCAGATGGGGAGGGGGGCCCATTGGTGAGGCCAGTGAGCCGACTCTGGTCTGTAGGGAAACCACTGGTGGAGGGGGAGGAGGCAGGCAGCTGTCGTGGGCAGGATGGGCTTTGGTGGAATAGACTGGAAAGAAGGCAGCCGGTGAGGACACGCTGCAGTATGTGCCAAGAAGGAAAGGTCTGGGCGGCCCGGAGCTGGTGGGCCGTCCTGGGAGGTGACGTCAAGTGGCTAACAGTGGGGGAGGGGAATATCACACAGCACTCTGCTGCCTGGCCAAGTTGCCTGGCTCGGGGCCAAGCAGCAAGCAACAGCCACTGTCAGTGACCGCACAGTGAAGTGTCAAATACAAGGATAGCTGTTCCCAACTCAGGCTGAGGGTTTTGGCAGTGCGATGCCCTGGTCGTCAGAGCCTCCTTGGAGCGAGAAGGCTCTACTGGTATCTCCTTTTCACCGGTGGTGTCTGATGTGATCAAGAAGCGGCCTTTCCTCTCCCCAGCCTCCCTGGAGCAAGCAGCAAGGGGGACAGTCCCTCCCCGGAACTGCTGGTGTCCTTCTTAGCTCCTTCTGGGTTTGGGACAGGATTATCTTTCCCCCAGTCGGTTTGGGCATTGACAGGGGCACCTGCTACTGTTGTCCAGGGACCATTTCCAGGGCGCTGTGTGTTCTCCGTCTTGCTTTAGAAAAGCCCCGTGAGAACTCTTGGGAGCAGGGGACCCACCATTAGGACTGGCTGATATATGAGGACACGGAAGCCCCCAGAGCAGAAAGGCCTTGCCCAGCGGTTGCACAGCTGGTCAGCGGAGAAGCCTGCTGCGTCCAGCTCCGGAGTCCGAGCTCTTTATTGCTAGGCTCCTCTGCCCCTTGTGAAAAGACACTCTCCAAAAGCAAGGGAATCAAGAGCAAAAATAAATGATTGGGACCTCATCAAGATTAAAAGCTTCTGCACAGCCAAGGAAACAACCCAGAAAATTAATAGGCAACCAACGGAATGGGAAAAGATAGTTTCAAATGACATATCAGATAAAGGGTTAATATCCAGAATCCATAAGGAACTCACGAAACTCCACACCCAAAAAACAAACAACCCAGTGAAGAAATGGGCAGAAGACATGAACAGACACTTCTCCAAAGAGGACATCCAGATGGCCAACAGACACATGAAACGATGCTCAGCATCCCTCCTCATCGGGGAAATACAAATCAAAACCACACGAGATACCACCTCACACCAGTCAGAGTGGCTAAAATGAGCAAATCAGAGAACTCTAGATGCTGGCGAGGATGTGGAGAAACGGGCACCCTCCTACACTGCTGGTGGGAATGTAAACTGGTGCAGCCCCTCTGGAAAACAGTGTGGAGGTTCCTCAGGAAACTAACAATAGAACTCCCCTATGACCCAGCAATAGCACTGCTAGGAATTTACCCAAGGGATACAGAAATGCTGAGGCATAGGAGCACATGTACCCCAATGTTCATAGCAGCACTCTCCACAATAGCTAAA